AACTGATTACAATCCTGTGCGTGGTGACGAACCATCAACGTGACGCTGAGAGTTCCCTCTACTATGCAGCGTTGCCAGGCTTAATGTCACAATGATCATGTTTTATTGGGAAAATTGTCAGAAATCGCCGAATCTTGAACAGAAACATTACAAGAAGTCTAACCATGAAATATGAGGCTACAAATCGATATTCTTATAGGGGGGAAGGGTAGGGAGCTGTTATGGTTCCTATTAACCTTGGTGAAAGTTTTAAACGGTAATATCATATATAGCATACATTCGGTTGAAGGTGTGTGCACGGAAAATAGATTGCGGATAGGATTTTAATAGATAAATCTGCACAAAAAAACACAAAAGGAGATTTTTGTATTTCCCTGAAGAATATCTCAAGGTTATTTCAGATGTACTCATCGAAACTTTATGGAAGGATTATCGAAACCTTATTTTCAATTGCGATAGGCCACATACCTCGACATCGCATTAATGTGAAAAATAAGACAATAGAAAAAAATTCCCTCACTGATGTTATCTCTTAGGAAAAATTTAACTATAAAGATTGCACAAAAATTTTCTTCACCTTTTTGAGCTTGTTTTCGCATCTCCGTATATGCCGTTCTTAATTTGCTGCAGATCAAATTGGAATATACCTTTGTGATGCCATTTATTGTTATATAATGTCCTTTACAACAGTTATTGCACGTATTGCACCAACAGATTGATTTGTGATCCATGCGAATGTGATCAACCACTCTGGCGAAAACTCGCCGAGCGTGGCAACCGTGCGACTTTGTCTGAAGGCTCGTCGCTACAAGCCAATCAGGAAGAGGCCGACAGAGCGCCATGGCTACCGATCACGCGTTGATCACTAATCAACCACTGTTTACGATTACTTTGTAGCTTCGTTAGATACACTTTAGATCTTTATAACTGTTACTCTTCTTTAACTGTACCTGATAATTACTGTAGTGAGCGTAAAGCCTAACATTCTGTTTCCTACAATATGTTACAGCTTTACGTTTTGACACATTTAGTGAATTGATAATTCCTAAATTATATTGAAGAAAAAGGCAGTATTCTGAAGTTACGATACCATTATGACCATTATGAAAAATAAATGATGTCATTCAATCTCAAGGGACAAATCATTGATATACAGGGTGTTTCAGTTTATTGTTGCATAATTTAAGATTCGATAGAACTTTTAAAATTAATAAACATGGGTCGAAAAATGCGTGGCTTCCGAATACAGGGTGTTTAAATTTACTTTCTAAAATAGTTTTTTTTAAATATTTCGAACAATATTTGATGTATAACAGTGAAAATTGGTATACAAGGGTTTTTTTTGGTACGACAAAACGAACCATGGGCTTAGTTTTTCTGTAACCGCTAGAGGGCGCTCTCTACTGTACCTGTAGTGTATTAAAATGACCGACAATGTTTTCTTAGTGCAATTTTTTGCTTTTCGAATAAAAAAAATGATTCTTCGCACTTTTCTGCATAAAAAAGCTCTCCTGTGAGTTTTCGTTATAGTTAACCGTTTTTGAGATATTTCGATTTTTAAGGTTCGATGCATTTTTAATTCTTTATGATAAAATAACGTTGAAAAGTCAGTATCTCGATAATTTTTAGAAGTAGGCTGTGCCTGCAAATATTTTTGGATTTGAAAGCAGAATAATCTTAAACGTCAATTAGTTGACAGTTCGTTTTGTTGTCTGTTGAAACCTGAAACATTTTTTTGCAATTGTGAATGCACGAAATTATAGTTTCTTTTACCTGTTTTTTTTTTGTAAGTTTATAAAAATGTCATTTTTATTCTCCAATCAAGAGTTAGCGGATATTCATTTTGTGTATGGTTTTGTAAATGGAAACGCAGCAGAAGCAGCCAGAGAATACGCACGAAGGGATCAAAACATAAATGTTCGTCAGCGCAGATTTACCCGTATGATTCTGCGTGAGTTTGATAGAGATCCGACCACAAGTGTTAGGAGAGTTTCTGGTGCCTTGGGAATTTCAGCAAGCCATGTTCACCGTGTTCTTAGAAATGACCATAGACGTCCTTACCATTTGCAACCTGTGCAAGGACTACAGCCAGGGGACGGAGAACGAAGAATCACATTGTGTCAGTGGATTCTTGATAGAACTGATAATAATAGAGAGTTTTTAAGTAACGTTTTATGGACCGATCAGTCATGCTTCACTAGACGTGGAGTGGTAAATTTTCATAATCAACATATTTGGTCGCATGAAAATCCGCATGCAGTTCGGGAAAGAAATTTTCAGCATGAATTTAGTGTGAACGTGTGGATTGGTATCTACCGTAATCGACTATTTGGACCCTACCTTTTGCCTGCAAGGTTAAATGCTACTACCTTCTCGGAATTTTTAAAAGCTGAACATGCAAATATGTGGGATGATGTTATGTTAGATTTAAGAAGATTGGCCTGGTTCCAGCTTGATGGTTGTCCAGCTCATTATTCGAGAATAGTTAGAAACTGGCTAGACGAAAATTATTCAGAAAGATGGATCGGCCGTGTAGGACCAGTCGCGATCCCCTGAACTAAATCCATTAGATTTCTTTATATGGGGATTTCTAAAAGAAAAAGTGTATCAGACTCCCGTAACCACAAGAGATATGCTAATAGACAGAATCAGGAAGGCATGTGATGAAATGAGGCCTTATTTGAATAATGCTATACCACGTTCGATCATCCGTAGACGTGAATTGTGTATTGAACAATTGGGTTTACATTTCGAGCTACTACTTTAGATTTTGTATGTTTGTCCTAACTATCCAATAGCATTTTAGTTGTAAATAATTAGTTTAATTTGTTAAAAATAATATTGGAAAATTAAACAAATTAATATTCTGTTTTTTTTGTGTTTATTTGTAGTTAGGAATTATTGCTGTGTTTAAAAACACAATCTAAACGATCATCTTAATTACTTGTAATGCCCAAATCGAAAATGTAAAAAAAATATTATTTTCCCATAAATAATTAAAAATGCATCGAACCTTAAAAATCGAAATATCTCAAAAACGGCTAACTATAACGAAAACTCACAGGAGAGCTTTTTTATGCAAAAAAGTGCGAAGAATAATTTGTTTATTCAAAAAGCAAAAAATTGCACTAAGAAATTGTTTTCGGTCATTTTAATACACTACAGGTACAGTAGAGAGCGCCCTCTAGCGGCTACAGTAAAACTATGCCCATGGTTCGTTTTGTGGTACCAAAAAACCCTTGTATACCAATTTTCACTGTTATACATCATATGTTGTTCGAAATATTTAAAAAAAACTATTTAAAAAAGTAAATTTAAACAACCTGTATTTCGGAAGCTACGCATTTTTCGACCTATGTTTATATAAACTTTATGCATTAATTTTAAAAGTTCTTTCGAATCTTGAAGTTATGAACAATAAACTGAAACACCCTGTATATTAAAAATAATAAAACTCCCAAGTTAGACCCCTGTGGAACTTCTCAAGTAGCTATGTAGTTATTAGACTTGAAATGCAATTCCTATAGTTTACTGTGACCTGCTGACGACCGTGAAAATACTTATAAAAGGGCACTAACTTATTAACGCATTGGCCGCCGTGTTATTCACTGATAACCGACACTGAACTATTAAAATGGTTCCGTGTCAGTCATCTGGACTGACTCTATATATCTACTTTGAACTTGTTATTTAGCACTGTCAGTCATGAGCATTGCGTTAAATTTTATCAGGTTTTCCTGGCGCGGAATGCATTGAAATAAACTGAATGTGAATATCATTGAGTTTCTTAGGCTGGCGTACAATGCGGTAAAATCTGTAAGATAAAAAGAAAATGATTCCTCCGAGAAAAGGCTTATTTATTCGTGAGACTTTGATTGTCAAACGAGTCACTATCAAGAGTGAGATTTTACTAAGCTAGCTGAGATGATCAATAAAACAATGTCCAAAGTAAGTTCAAAGAATTTGCACGGGGAATATGAAGGAGAATAAGAAGTGTACATTTAGATGCAAGTTGTGTATAATCTAGAGCATTGATTCCCAAAGTGGTCTATATCAACCCCTAGGGGTCTATGACAACCTGCAAGGGGTCTAAGTCAGCGAAAAAAAATTTGGGGGTCCATGAAATGAATATGGGGGTCCACGATAGTGAATCTCAACACATACACTGATAGTACCTATTTACTTACATCATACTATCTTATAATATCAAAAAATATACATTATTTATAAAAGTACCTATGAAGTAAAAAATTTATTATATATGTTTATAAAATTGTGTAAGTTGTGTGATGTTGGTATTCGCTTTGTGGTCGCAATACATTTTGAACTTGTAAAAACCTGAGAGTCGCAGTCTCAGAGCTTCGCTACCTTGCACTGACTTGTTCAATTCGTCACTCTATAAATACGAATGTGGGACAAATAAGTTTATTCGTTTCCTGAATCTTGAAAAGGAAAGTGCTAAGAAAATATTTTAAAAAATATAAACAGATAGTATATCACACAAATTATAGTGAGTCAGTGTTATTTTGTTTGAGAGTGCTGGAGAAAAGTAAGTACATTATTTTTTATTAAATGTTAGTTTTGTACTCGTAGTTAGCAAAGATAGATAAATTACGCCAATCATGACTTTAGTTATTAGTAGTTAAATATTCAATCATGCAAAATTGCACTCCTCAATAGTTTCTTTTTGAAAGTTTTAGCAATCGGTAATATAATTACAGTGCAATCTCCGTAATTCGAGCTAATTGTTGCAAGAAGATGTCCGAATTATGGAATGTTTTCGGAAAAATAAAAAAATATTTTTAATATACAGCTGCTGGATTTTCTGTCTTATTTAAATAATTTAATTTTGCCCACAGATGAATGATGCCATGTCCGAATCTAAAAAGAAATGTAGACAGTACAGTGTTGATTATTTGAAATTTGGCTTCATTCCATCATTGCCGGACAAACAATCGCCTATGTGCCTTTTATGCAACAAAGTTTTGGGCAATGATGCTATGAAACCATCTAAACTGCAAGATCATCTGAGAAGATGCCACCCTGATAAAACAGAGAAAGATTTGAAATACTTTCAAACACTCAAAGATAAATTTCAGAAGAGACCTACACTGGACAGAATGTTCGCTTCGACGTCACAAAGAAATGATGATGGTTTGCGGTCGTCTTACAATATCTCGTTACTTATAGCAAAATCCGGAAAACCGCATACTATCGGAGAGATGTTAATTTTGCCAGCCGTTGAAGAGGTTTTAAAAACTGTTTTACACAAACCTGCATCTGATATCATTAAAAGAATTCCCTTAAGCAACAATACTGTTGGAAGACGTACTGATGAAATCAGTTCTGATATTGAAAGCTTCTTCTGTAATTATTTGCAAACGACCCATTTCTCTATACAACTGGACGAGTCAACTTTACCTGATAATGCAGCATTATTATTGGCTTATGTTCGTTTTATTATGAATCAAGATATCTACGAAGAACTGCTCTTCGCAAGAACTTTGATAACAGACACTAAAGGCGAATCAATAGTTCATGTTTTGAAGGATTACTTCATTGAAAAAGCAATTCCTTTATCAAATATAATATCAGTAGCTACAGATATAGCACCTGCCATTGTTGTACATTATCCTGGATTTATAAGCTATTTAAAACAAAATGTGTCAGGGGTGTTAGCAATACATTGCGTCATCCATCGACAACATTTAGTTGCTAAAAATTTGAGTGTTAGACTGCATGAATCACTTCATTGATGCAGTAAACCGAATCCGAAGCAACGCGTTGAATACGCGGTTATTTGCGCAGTTGTGTGAAGAAAATGACGAACACTTTCATCAATCACACTGATGTACGCTGGCTGTCGAAGAGCTTATGTTTGATAAGATTTTTTGCACTTTTTGAGACTATTTTAGAATTTCTGGATACTAAAGATAACATTTTAAAAGAAAATTTAATGAAGAGGAAAACAGACATCGCCTATTTAACAGATTTGTTTACAAAATTTAATATGGTTAATTTGCAATTACAAGGCGACAGTTTAAATTTGATTAAAACAAAGTCCATCTTATCAGCGTTTCTTGACAGAGTTAAACTAATGAAGCAAAATATTGGACGGGACGAATTTTCTCAGTTCCCCAATTTGTCACAGACAAGCTGTCAGGAAGACGACGTTTCAACTTACGTTCAACATTTAAATGCCCTCTATTCAGATTTTGAATCTAGGTTTGAGAATATTTTGACTATGGTAATACCACCGTGGATAATTAATCCATATGGTGACATAGAAGAAACGAATGTCATAATACAAGAGGAACTGACTGAACTAAGTACAAACGAAGAACTTAGGGTTCAATTTAAAAACAGAGATCAGCAATTCTGGCAGCAAAACAACATACCCGTTACTTATTCCGTATTATGGAGTATAGCAAGGAAATTTTTAATTTCCTTTCCATCGTCATACCTAGTGGAAAGGGGGTTCAGCGCTGTTACCAATCTCCTAACGAAAAAAAGAAACAGACTGGACATCATTAGCCGAGGAGATTTAAGATTAACCCTTACACAATTGACGCCAAATGTTGATAATTCATTATTAAAGCATCAGGTTCATCCTTCTCACTAAAAATATTGACTTATTGCTTATGTTATTTTATTTATAGTTTATTTTATGTTTATTGGTGTTTGACCAATAAATGCCCGCATTGGGAATAAGTGCCCGCATTGATTTTTTTTTTTAAAGAACCCCTCTTTATAGAAAATATTTTTTTTAAATTATTCTGAAAACTCAAGGATAGGTACACACTAAAATTCGTTAATTTTTGCCTATTTTTAGATAACTTAAACGTATAAGAAGCGGAATTTAATCAAACTAACAGTGAAATTATTGTAGAACATACGTTTATGTTATAATTAATAAACGAACTCGCTTATTGTACTATTTTAAGTAAAAAACATTTTTTTTATTATTTTTCACTTTTTTTTTATTTTATCCCTCTTATTTTTTTCAATGCGGGCACTTATTCCCAATGCGGGCACTTATTGGTCAGTAACCTGTTTATTTAATGTTACGTATATTTTACATAACAGATACAAAATTTTATTTTGAGTAGTTTTAATTTAAATTCAATTAATAAATGTATAAATTAACATGTGTTTTTAACACTAAACTTCACTACAGTTAGAAATTTACAGGAAATCAATATCAGGTAAGTAGGGGGTCTACCCAACACGGAAAAACATGTCAAGGGGTCTACGACACAAAAAAGTTTGGGGAACTCTGATCTAGAGAATGTGATATAGTTTAATTACTGAATGTGTTACAAAATATACGAACCTGATCACTAATGAAGTCGTTCCCGAATCATCCAGCAGGGTCGGGGCAGTTCTATCATCACTACTCTGTCGGATGGTCGTGTTCAGTCAGTGGTCTTACACTAAAAGTAAACGAGATCGTTCACTACCCAACTAAGAACTAAGTTTCTCCATACTCTTTAATGAACTCTTCTATCAAGTATCTCTACCAATTTGACGGATTGGAGGGTTAGGACTAGTGTTCACCCCTAAAGTTATAGCCGGCCGACGTATTGCAGGGCAAACCCTGCAATAAGAAACTTGTTTTATTGCTTGTAGTGAACTTAATATTTTTACCTTTTCTGAAATTGAATCTAGTTGCATTACACTTCATTTTGCACAATCGAATAAATTTCTATTCACTTCCATCAAGGAACCTTTTTGTCTACGTGCCTATTAGAATAGAATTTTTGTAGGAAACGTTGGAAAATTTTATAACAGGTTTTGACTGTGAGTGGTTTGGGTTTCTTGGAGATATTAGCTTCATGATATCTATTTCACCACTGCTGGAACAACGTTAGCGAGCAAATGGGTTCATGAAAAACATTGAGTTGAACAAGTTGACATAGATGAAGCTCGTCATATTACCCCGGCACAACGCGGGACATATGCGAATAATAAGCATTTGGACAATAGAATCTCTCAGAGAGACCATGGAGGTCAAAATGACTGAACCATTAGCCTTTAGACGAGAAAGAATGCCTACAAGATCTTGGTATGAACCTAGTAGAATACAGTACAACGAACGAAGAAGTCTATTCGCCTTTAAAAAGATCACATGGATATGAGAGAAATCGCATTAGTTCTTGAGGTGAAGCTACCGCTGGGTAACCTGTATTTATGAATAACATAGCCTATAAATCCGCTTATTATTCACGCTCTCTGGTTACCTTGTCTGATTGGCATAAATCCCGTAGAATAAATTAATGTATAATGAGCGAATCGATAGTTCTACCTAATCTGATATTTCGTACCAGGGGCGTGACATTCAGAAGAATATGTAGAGCTTCTCACTTCTGGCATCCCGAAAAAGACACAGGTATTTCCATAGTATTCTTGACTTTATTGGTATTTACTGTTTTTTTTTGAGCGAGTCGGTCAAAGCCGCCGATCATACCGCAGCCTGTAAGTATTATTGTACCATACTATTTCAAACTCCTGCACCCAGTCTGTCAGTATTTAATCCTGTACTAATTAGTATATATAGTTAGGTATTTATCTTGAAACCACGGAATATCTTGTCAACATTACATTTTTTCAAAAGGTGTTTCTGACTGAATTTTTAGGGTGGACAGTCATTTGAAGGCGAATTTCAAAATTTTAAACGGGATGCCCCATTTTAGATGCTAGAAATGGAGAGAGCGGGCGATTTCACGATCAGATATGGTCCTGGCCTCAAGGACAAGCTTCTTAGTCACTTTAAAGTCAAACAAAAACTGGTTCTAGGTCAGTGTGAGTTAGTCCCCTTTGTACCCTACAACTTTTGCAGGAAACATTATCAAAATATCCTGATATTTCCATTTGACCTTGATATGACCTTAAAAATTGACCTAGATTTTGAGGAATTTCATTTAGACTTTTGAAAATGGCCTCCAAACGACTTCTAAGGTCAAGTTTACTACCTCATTTTCACCCTACAGCTTTTATCTCAACAATTTTTCGAGAAAATTGTATCCTGTCAAGATAATCCGTTCTCGCAGGATGTCTCACCCTACAGAATTTTCATCAGTTCTAATTTCAAAGAGCTGCTGTCTATTTTGATCGAGTGCGCAGCTGGCACTAAACGCCGAGTATGCTCTTTGTGCTTGACTGCAGTTGAGGTGACGTCCATTGTATAGTCCTATTTCGTGCATGTGTTCCAGACTATTACCCCCTGTTAGATAGTTCTGCTTCCGTTTTCGACTATAAACTGGATAGCAAAACAATGGAAGTACACATGTTCAATCTCCATTGTATATGCTCAACAACTATACTGGGACTATAGCGCGTATCTGATTCCATCATTATCGGTGAGGCGGCTACTGATTATATGGAGACAAGAGAATATACCTTGCGCGGATCCCGTGCCCCTGTAACTAAGCAATTACAACTCGAGTGATGGCAGCAACTGCTGGCAAACGTAAACTACTTGTTATCCGTCCGTGGCATGCTAGAGCTATGTCATTTGCAAATATTATTATTATCGTTATTGAAACTGTTATACAGGTGTATAAAAGCTAATTACAATTACATCCATACATTGAGAAGATGAAACACCACAGTGCACAAAGATGGTGCTGGAGAAAGTTGTTGCCGTAATTCACGGAAACTGACAGCAAAACGGTTATCCTTGCCACTACTGCATAGGTGACATTAGTAGAGTGTACTCGAGCTGCATATTGGTTAGAGGTGACATATATTTGTCGAACTGTGATTAAGTGACTGACACGTCTCAACCACGAACCACAACTGCTATCAAATACCGTGAAAAAGCGATACTTGATCGCGACTTGAGGACTAGTCACATTACGGCATCGGCAAATGGTACCACATGAGCACGGAGCTAATGCTAATACCACAGTCGTATTACCACATGGACTGCAAGCGATATCGTACCCCATAGATTCTGGAAGTTCGAGCCATGCGATTTTCTCAATATATATTGTTCAGAATATTACAAAATCAGTATAGTCATAACTGCTCTCGTCTTCTTATAAATTACTAAGTGCTGGTGATGATTAATTTAGCTGCAAAAATTACAAATTACTCTTAACAATTACGTTTAAGACCAGTTGTTCTACTTGATCAAGTTTCACTAAAAATACCATTTTGTACGTTCTACACACAATACAATAATATAACATACAAACCTTTTAACAAATATCGAACGACGCTAGAAACAATTATAGCTTTATGTCTCACTGCACCTGCATCGGTCCTCTACGACGGTATCAGATATCAATCACAGTTATTCAAAAATAACGGCCATCTCCAGTATAGGCCTTTGCAAGGTTTCTCGCGGAACATAGTATAACTAAAGAAATTACTTTCATAAATCAATTTGCCCCACACATAATATGTATTTAAGATACACATACACTGAAGATAGGATATTGCGCATGTGGGCGGAGCTTCGTGACGTCACCCGGAGAGTGGTCGGCTCGTGGTTACCAGCGGCAGGATTGTTGTAACGTTACTGCAGTTCACGTGTATCGTGGTTAATACTATATAGTGCGATTTGTTGGTATTTTTTTGGTGGTTTATGCACACTTTATATAGCCTGTGTAGTTGATGAGGTTCTATCGATTTCTTCAAGACCCAAACCTTAGCAAAAAATTGCTACATCTTACAAAAAGAAAAGACACAGTCAACGTAAAAAGCATTTTTGTGAAAGTGCCTATAAGGTCAATTTAAAACATACCTTTTT